CCTAATGGTGAGGAGTGGTATTTCAAGTAAAATATTATATAAATAGAACCATCAGGATACCACAGGTGTACTGGATAAAGTCAGCGTCATGATTGTGAGTTTAAAAAGGGAAACCACATGCAGTAGCAATGACATGGCACTAAATGCCGTCCGTTTACAAAACCAAGCAGAAACGTGCGTACGCCATGTCTGGAGCTGCCGTGAGAATGTGCGTAGTGGTACGGCAAGTTTCGTTTTTATACATCTCGACGTGAGCGCAGAAACGGACGTACACAACATTTTCGTGCGTACGCACCGTTTATACATGAGGCCCCAGGTACTCGGCCGTCCGGGTGTCCTCGGCACCAGACGGAAGTCTACAAACGCAAAAGTGACGAATGTAAGTGATGAGCATAAGAATAAACCTAAAAGTGATGACAAGCGTAGACGGAACATGAAAAATCCAAAATCGTGGGGCATGCTTTTGGATGTTGAATAGCCAAAGATCAGTTTTAAAAACGTTTTAAAATAATTTTAAAAATCGATTCATTCAGACTTATGAATCGTTTCAACCGAGTTAAAAAGAACGATTCGTTCATGATTCGGCCTTCACTATTAACAATCATCCTCTTTAACAGGTCTAATACTTAAAGCTCGAATGTGCTAACAGCATTCTCGAAGTATTGTTGCCATGTACCAGAACTTTACCAAGCATTTATGTGTCTCGTGTCTCCTCTCCTTTCCTTGCCTGTGTCGTCGTGCCCTGCTGTCCCGCTCACCCTGCCTTCATCCCCGTTCCTGCTTACCTCGCCTGCCCTGCCTGCCTGCTCCACTCGCCCTGCCCGATCCATCACATCGTCTCCTCGTCCTGTCCCTCTTTGTAGGACTGATCTCCCCGGTTTCGACCCTTCAGCGTTCGACCCGACTATTCTCCCGGATTTCCCCTTTGGCATTGTGTGTTATCAGCTATGTCAGTCTCATTAAACGAGTCTCCTGCATTTCGGGGTCTGCCTCCTTCCTGGATCGGTGTTCTAACAGTGTTGCCGTTGCTCATATTTCTTTATGATATAAGGCTTAGGTTTAAGGTGACATTTGTTAGACATACAGATTATTTGTCCCTCTTTTAAAATGGAGTGAGTGTGGAGCGATTTGACTGGAGCGGGAGGAAACTGTAGTGGAGCGAGGAGCGGTGTTGAGCGGAGCGGCTTAGTGCGAATTAGAGCAGAGGAGCGGGCGGAGCCAACAGCCTCGTGAGCAAGGAGCGGAAATTCTCACCGCTCCACTCACATGCTCTGCAGTGGGTTGCACCAGCTAAGCGTAAATTCGATCTTAGCCCATGATGGACGTAAATTGGCCCTACGTTCGAGTTTACTTACTACTAAAAAATAATCTGTTGCACCACGCTCTTACTTTCTGTCATGTCGCGTGCAGCACGGATCGGGGAAGCAGGCGAATGGACGTCAGGGATTTGGGAATACGGGTTTTAATGACAGCACACAGGGCACAAAGCACACCACAACAACGTCAATGACCGAACTGGGGATACAAACGGAAATGCGGACTAAATACACTGAACTAATGACAACAATCCAAAACAGCTGTAAAACACTGGGATTCCACATGAGGTTAACGAGGGGGCGTGGCACACATTAGGATCGGACGGAGCGGGGTGTGACACTTTCAACGTAGTACTAAGTTATAGCGTAAATTTTACACTACCTTAACATTAGGTGTGAAGTCCATCGTAAGAAAGATGTTAAAAAGTGGTGAAAATGGCTATCCATTTTGAACGGTGGGAAGATGAAATTAAATGCAGTTTACGTCGAGAAAGAGTCATTCATGACCGATTACATCCCTTTGAACAATACGATGATGTTGATCTGTATGCTCGGTTTCGTCGTGCCGAATTTGTGTTTGTTATAAAATTATTGAATTTGGACTCTAATGTCAATTTATGTGCTTTGTATTTTGTAAGGAGAATTATGACCTCTTCATGTGTAAAATTTTTCTTTCTCGGCCTACGGTCTGACATTTTTCTGAAAAAAGAAAAAAAAATCAACATCTTCAGGTTTAACAAACACCCTTACCTCATCTCTGGGGTCAATTTCACATCAAAGAAATATATACTTCTAGGTAAAAATTTTAAGTTTTCATCTATTCTGGTGTCTCTATGGAGATCTACAGCAGTGAAACTGGACCTCTGCTGCCATTATATGGTAAAGAAAAGTTACCCAGTGTAATGTAAAAGATGGCCCTTCATAGTGAAACAGGTGGAGTGTATTAGTCAATGTGAAAATTATTATAGTCTATAACGTTTAGTACCGGGGTGAATTTGACTCCAAAACAGCACAATAAGATTGGCGATACATTAATTAATGGCGACATTAATTTTCCATACAAACTTCTTGTTGCGTTCGCCCAGCAGGCAAGAAGGCAGCGAAGCCATGAAGTCAGGAATAGGGGTTTATTGACACGGACAGGGCAGACAGTGACAAACATCAATGACCGATCTGGGGAACACTAACTCAGACGCGGACTAAATACACAAGACACGCAGAAAATAACAGGTAACAGGTGATCACAATCGGGGTAGTACACGTAGGTAATGAGGGGCCGTGGCACACACGAGAATCGGACGAGCAGGTCATGGCACTTC